ACGGGCTCATCCTTTTTCTGAGATTCAGTTTATGTTTCTTTTGTCCTTCAGAATCTTTTTGTGGGCCTTAAACACTCTAGCGTTTAAGTGCTCTAGCCAGTCTAATATTTGCCGACTTGACTTTGACCTTCCTGCCTGTACCCTTTACTCCAGGGATATAAAATTCTTTTCTTGGATCCATAGCCAGGTGGCAGGTTATTCCCACTAATCCTGTTCTCACAGTCATTGATCTACTATGGCTCTGCTGGAAAGAAAGATCTTTCCCATCCCTACTGTTTGCTTTATTACTTGCTTTTAATCTTTAGTTATTTTCTTAAGTTGTCCTTTAGAGTCATGAAGCATATGTTCATGTTAATAGAGAAGGAAATAAGAAAAATCTGTTAGTAATTCAGTATCAGTTACTAAATCTAACTGCACACAGGCATTGGGTTTTCTTGTTTGAAAAATTGGTTTGTTAGTTCACCCTGAGTCCAAACACTCAAAATTCAGAGAACTGGAAAAGAATGCTATAGCATTAAAAAAACATTCATGTAGCTTAGGAATATTGATTAAGAAAAGCCTTTCTGCCATTTTGTCACCCTTGTGACACCTTTGTCACTAGCTTTGTCATCCTTAATCAAGCCTATATGACTTCTCCGGATTTTCTAAAAACAGTGACTAGACTAGTGGTGCCAGAAGGTTCTTCCTTCCTGCAGGTACTTGGAAATATTTGGATTATTTTAATTGTCACAATAACTAAAGAGTGCTACAGGGTAGGGGCCAGAATATTAGTTATCCTTTAATTCATGGAATATTGTTGTACTATAGAGAATTGTCCCAACCAAAATGTCAATGATGCTTCCCTTGGGAAACATTGGCAGATGATTGCTAAACTTCACTAATTTTTAATGAAAGCTTTTTAAATGTGTTTTGATTCTTTCAGTTTGAAAACATGTATTGAAAGGGAATGGTCAAAAAATTACCTGTAAAATAAATCTTACTTCTGTTTTCATTTCCAAATACTTAATACAGAAAATAATACTGTTAGCATTTCATATTGTTCTTCAATGTCCTATGATTCTTGGACTATTAGTTGATAATTGCTGGCAAAATGTATTGAAAATATCTGCATTACCTGCACATTCAGTTTTTTAAAAAATAAACTTAAAAGTTTTTAGAATAGTTTTAGATTCATCCAAGAGTTGCAAAGATAATGCAGGAAGTTTATATACACCCTGCACCCAGTTTTTAAAGTTTTTTGAAAACTTTTAGTCAGGGTGGTTTTGGTGAGACTGGGTAAGTGGGATGAAACAGTACAGCTAAGAGAATGAGACTTAGCCCTGCACCACAGAAATAAGACTACACAAAACTAATCCTTTTGACTATGCTTCTATACATAAATCAGTTTTATGATGTATTTTTTGATACAGTGCCCAGATTGACCAATGATAGAGAAAGCTCTTACTTTAATAACCCACTCAATGAGGTTAGGAATAATTGAAGAAAATTCCTCAACCATCTTTGAATTTCTAGGCAGCAGAGGCTATGTCATGTTCATTTTTAATATTCACTACCCAAGACCTACTAGATGCTCAATAAATATTAATGAAAATTATAATAATAAGGAAGGTATTATAATCTTTTTGTCTCTCTATTTTAGCTCTTTTCTGTAAATTTTTTCTGTAAATTTTTGTTTGCAGTAATTTACATAGTTAACACAAGAAATAACTTTGAGTCTTTTCCCACATTGGTAGGTGTAAACCTTTACACTCGGTAGCTGGGAGTTCACACACAAGAATGCTATATATGAGATTGTCTCTAGAATTATTCTGGTTGCTACAGAGAATTAAGAATTTACCCCATATCACATGCATGGATTCTTAGATACAGCCAATTTCTATAAAATAAGTAGATATTATATTTTCTTAGATATGGGGAAATTTATTTGCTATGAGATAGGTACCAAAAAGATTTTCTTTATGTACTAAATAAAGAAAATTCCAGACTGTTTGGAGATGAATCCTTCAGCTCATAAATTATGTAGATCTTGGTTCCTTTTCTGTCAAAGATCACTTTTCAGTAATTTTTCATAGCTAATTACATGTTTTCTTTGAAAGAATCAAGCAGGGGTAGTGAGTCTCTGAAATTTTCACATAGCAACTCTTGTAGAGATTTAAAAGTCACAGAGGAAGTAAAAATTATGCCTCATAAGAGGCTTATGTATTCTTTGTAAGTTTAGCCAAATGCTACTATTATTATGGATAGTTGGTGTTTGATGTTAATAATTTATATAAATGTTTCTGTTTCTTAAAACCCAATTCAAATTGGCTTAAGGAAATAAGGGAATTTATCTTAGTACTTCAAGATGACTGGATCCAGGGATTTAAATAAAGCCTTCGGGATTTTCTCTTTTCCCATCACTTTTATGTTTGTAGCTTCATTCTCTTCTACTACCATAAGCTTTCTTCAAAAGGGTACATGTCAGTACCCCAAAAGAAAGAGAGGACTAGTTTATTTGGGGATGTTACAAGGCAGATTGAATACCTGCCTATAGTCTTGCTCATTCCTCTCATATTTACTATAGTAGAGCAGTAGACAACCATGGTTGGCTAGGCCTTGGTCACGTACCCACATCTTAGGTCATGAAGATGAGGCACTGTGACTCTTTTTAGCAGTCCGTTTTCCAGACTAGGGTTGAGGAAGGACAGTTTTCCAAAGAAAATAGGGCCTGTAATACAAAACAAATATAGAAGAGAGGAAAATAATACGGAAAGACTGGGATTCCCAAGTGGCTCAGTCAGTTGAGCATTGGACTCTTGGTTTCCTCTCAGACCATTATCTCATAGGATTGTTCTGAGCTCCCTGCTCAGCGGAGAGTCTGCTTCTCCCTTTCCCTCTCCACCCATCTGTCCCCACCACCCACTGCTCGTACATGCTTGCTCTCTCCCTCTCAAATAATTAAATAAATATTAAAAAAAAAAAGAATATGGAAAGACCAAAGCAAATCCAAAAATTTTTCTATTTAGCCAAACAGCCAACTACATTATAGTTTTTAATAATAATAATGAGTTGATTCCAATGCCTTTTATGACAGTTAATATTTAAATATTTTCTAGGGGTTGAAATATCTATTTCAACTGTTCATTTTCTTTGGAAAGATGCCAGTGAAGGATATATTTAAAAGCATTTTTTCATTCCTAATTCAGTGGGCTAGACCTACATTTATTGTCTTTTTTGGTAGATCTTGCAGCAATGAGTAATTATTTTCTTTTCTGAGGTCAATGGGGGTCATATCTTTTGGTCTTGGGTATTCTGGCTTTAGGAATCTTTAATAATTTGGATAATTCCTTATTTAAAAATCTTTACCATCTATTAAATGAATTTTCCTTTTGATAAAATAATTCATTTAACTATAAAGTTCACCTAGTCTTGTGGTATGAGCCTTGACAACTTGGAATACATATGAATCTAATGAAGCATTGTTTTATTTACTATGGCTCAAAAGGTGTTCAAGCCATTAAGTGATCAATGTCCAGTAGTTGAATACAGTTGCTCAAATAATAGTGCCCTTCATTTAAGATTCCTTGAAAGTTGATGTTAGTCTCTTTGAATGCATTTTCTAATTTTAGTTTGTTTGAGACACATGGATGCACAGAGAGAGTTATTTCCGATAGCTTGAAAAATGATTTTAGCACAATTCCAACAAATTGTACTATGGATGAACATAGGGGAAGGGAAGGAAAAATAAAATAAGATGAAATAGAGAGGGAGGCAAATCATAGGAGACTCTTAACTATAGGAAACAAACTGAGGGTTATTAGAAGGAAAGTGAGCGGGATGATGGGGTAATTGGGTGATGGGCATTAAGGAGGGCATTTGAAGTAATGATATTCAACTGATAAATCACTAACTTGTACATCTGAAACTAATAATAGAGTATATGTTAATTAAATTGAATTTAAATTTAAAAATTTTAAAAACTAAATATTTGCTATGTCATATAATATTTTTTACATCTCTTGTATTTTTGTATAGACATAATTATATATTTTATCCACTGAAGGACATTTTACAAAAAGATAGTAAATAAAATGTGTTGGTTTAGAAATAATGTAAAGATTTGCATTGCAGACACTTTTTAGGGCATGTCTTAACCTGTTTAAAATTATATCTTTACTTCAAACAATATGAGATACATTTTATTGCATTTTTGAGATATAGGAAAGCATCAATGCCTTAAAATAATCAGATTAGAGTCTTCCTGAAATACTCTTTTCTTTTGGGATATGTTAGTCCCTAGTCCTCTTACATTCTCCAACCACTCTTCTTAGTGGAATTTTCTTTTTCTTTTCATTCCTTAAGTGTTCTCATGTTTCTCTCCTTGTCCTCTTGTAATTTTTCCATCAGAGATTGGAAACTAGTGACTCCTTAGGCCAAATCTACCTAAACACAGTTAATTATAATAGAAAGCTTCTGCACAGCAAAGGAAACAATCAACAAAACTGGAAGACAACCTACTAAATGGAAGAAGATATTTGCAAATGACGTATCTGATAATGAAGGTATTTGCAAATGACATATCTGATGACATATTTACCATCCAAATATAGAAAGAACTTATACAACTCAACACCCCCCCCAAATAATCCAATGAAAAAGTGGACAGAAGATATGAACAGACATTTGTCCAAGAAGACACAGCTGACCAGCAGATACTTGGAAAGATGTACAACATCATTCATCATCAGGGAAATTCAAATCAAAACCACAATGAGATATTACTTCACACGGGTCAGAATGGCTAAATCAACAACACAAGAAACAATGTGTTGGCAAGGATGTGGAGAAAAAGCAATCCTCTTGCACTGTTGGTGGGAATGCAAACTGGTGCAGCCTCTGTGGAAAATAGTATGGAGTTAAAATGTTAAAAATAGAACTACCCTATGACCAAGTAATCACAGTATCCCCAAAATACAAAAACACTAATTAAAAGGGATACATGTACCTCTCTTTTTTTGCAGCATTACTTGTAATAGCCAAATAATGGAAGAAGCCCAAGCATCCATGGATAGATGAAGGATAAACAGCATATGGTATGTACAAAATGGAATATTATACAGCCATAAAAATGAAAAATGAAAATTGCCATTTGTAACAACATGGATGGAGCTAGAGAATATAATGTAATGCTAAGCAAAATAAGCCTGTCAGAGAAAAACAAATACCATATGATTTCACTTATGTGTGGAAAGAAACAAATGAATGAATAAAAAGAGAGACAAACCAAGAAACATACTCTTTAAAAAAAAAATATTTATTTATTTATTTATTCAGAGAGAAAGAGAGAGAGAGAGAGGCAGAAACACAGGCAGAGGGAAAAGCAGGCTCCATGCAGGAAGCCCGACGTAGGACTGGATCCTGGGTCTCCAGGATCACACCCTGGGCTGCAGGTGGCACTAAACCACTGCACCACTGGGACTGCCCCAAGAAACATACTCTTAACTCCAGAGAACAAACTAATGATTACCAGAATGGGTGAAATAGGTGACAGGGATTAACGAGTACACTTATAATTGATGAGCACTGAGTGATGTATAGAGTTGTTGCATTACTATATTATACACCTGAAATTAATATGACACTATGTTAACTATATTGGAATTAAAATAAAAAATAAAATCTTAAAAAATAATAAAATTAAATTAAAAAATTAATAAAAATAGTAATAATAACAATAATAATTTGACCTTTGAAATATTTTGAAATAAATGTACCTAATTTAAAAATTGGGGGATTACACATTAAATCTGTTTTCAGCTTTTCCTGGAAAACTGGACTGTCTGGACAACCTTAACTAGTATTTCCACCTGGTGATAGCTGGAGCTGTGTGCCGGCTGCCCATTTGGACAAAACAGGCACTCTCTCTTCCACTGACCACTGCTTTTGATACTGTTAGCGCTCCGACTCTAAGCTTTGCTTGTTGCTTTTCACATGTGGACTGTTATTTTTCTTATAATAATAGAGAAACATTTCTTGATTTCTGTATTTCCATAAAAAAATTGGAAAATGAAAGACCAAGAGAGCTTTGTGCTTTAAGGAAAGTTGGAGGAATGCAAATATTAATGTCCAAACAGCAAGTCCACTCTCTTATCTCTGAAAAATTTCATTTACTTCCATAAGCTTGCAGCTACCATTTTTAATATAAATGACTCTAAACTATATATCTCCTATTTGGAGTTTTTACCTCAACTTTTGACCCATATTTTCCACTGCTTGTTCAGCATCTGTGCTTGAATGTCTTACAGATATTTTAAGCATAACATGTCTTACATGAACACATCATGTAGCTCCTCAAATTCACTCTTCCACCTGTGATCTGTTGTGGCAGATTGTATTATTGTTTCCAATTATTCATTCTCCTCCTCTCTCTCAGAGAATAATATACCTCCCTCAGCTGCCACGTGCTTATAATGCTTTCCTTGGAAAGAATGTACTTTCCCACATCATTGAGACTAGGCTCAGCCATATGACTTTCCGGCCAGTGATATGTAAGCCAAAGTGATAGTAACCTGTAAGAGCAGAAGCGTTTGCAGTATGTAGTTTCACCAAGTCTTAACTCTATACATTGAGAAAAACAAATAAGGTGGTATTCTCCTTCCACCTGGATGCTGGAGTGAAAGTAAAAAACCACTAAACTGCTGGATAAAATATTTCAAAAATGAAATTTGTAAGTAGGGAAAGTGATGGAATCCTCCAAGACCAGAAATAATAGAACATTATGAGTCTCTTTCTAGGTCAGTGTTAAAGTCAGCATTTGTACTGAGGTCTTATGTTGCTCCGTAGCATTTCTATTTTATTTTAATGAGTAGTTTATTAAAGTCAGGAACACTTGGTCTTATAATTTGAGAGATTCAAGTGAGACACAGAGACAAATCCAGGTATCCCAAAGGGAACATGTTAAGGGGATGAGCTATCTTATCCAGGACATAGAGGTAATATGGACGCTTGCCTTCCTTGGTATTAGCTGTAGGTAAAAGAAAAAAAAAAAGGTAAAAAGGAAAAAATTCCCTTAGGAATTCTCAACAAGCATTTTATGTACTTGGGGGCCAGAATCATATACCCCATAAGCTTGGAAAAACCCAGGCCACTAATTTATGTGAAAATTACCCTGGACTAGTAGTACACACAGGTTCCTGGCATTTTAGCAAACTCAAATCCTCTATGGATGTATATTCTTTAAACTCAGGTCTCAAAGAAGTCCCACTGATAAAGTTCCATAAAACCTTAAGGAGATAATAAAAAATATTTAAAACACGCTTGGAAGAACAAGCTACCATTAGTGAAATGCAGCAAAACAATACAATGAAGAGTCAGGTTCACAAAGCTGGCATACACATGGATGTTTAAAGCTACAATAAAAGTGCTTAATATATTTAATTGACTTAAAGAAGACATTTTCAGGGGTCCTACCTATCTTCTTCTGTGGATACCAAAATAAGAAATCCTTCTTCAGAGAGTAGTTTTATTCAGGCTTTGTATCACATTTATTCTATGCTTCTGTGACTGAGGTCTTTGCAAGAATAATGGTATGCAGCTGTATCCTCGTTCACATACATCTGGCTTGTAGCAAGAGTCAGGTTGACTGAAGGTGAAAGATATCGAATATTTAGAATCTGGTAGGACATAAAAGTATCAGAAAGCAGGTGAAGAAGTTCCAGCCCATAAAGCAGTATTGAAACATGTATTGAGAATGGGAGTAGCCAGGGAATGAAATTAGGGAGAGGAGACAGGGATTAGTGGAAGACTGAGAGATTCCCACTGATTATTGGAACAGGGGAAGACTCCTTCCCAGTCTGTCCTTTAGGTTTTTCCAGGGACATCTGAAAGATGTGCCTGTTAAGGAATGGGGATGAATAGATACCTGATTCTAATTTCCATCCTAGCTTACTCTATGCTTATATCCTGTTCCCACCCAGGGTCCAGAATGATACAGGTACCCTGGCCACATGGATCAATCTGAATATTTATTTGGTAGGTTTTGTCTTAGAATCTCAGAATTTTTAGAAGTAAAAAAGTCTTTAGAAATAATTCCAATCACTCAGAAGTTTTGCTTTTTGTTGTTTTGGTTGACTTTCTATTGAAAAATATATATACAGAAAAGCACACAAGTACACACTTCTTAGAATTTTTACAGAATGAGCACATCCTAATGATCATCCAAATTAAGTTAGAATATTTCTAGGACCCCAGAAACTTCCCTAAAGCTCAGTCTCGGGCATTGGTCAACGCCAAAAGTAACCACTGCTCTGACTTTCATTAGAGAAAAAGTTTTAAAATATTTTTCTTTTTTGACAGTTCTAGGAAATGCCCAAATATTAAACAAACATTCACTAAACATATACTATACACTGAGCAACAAGGATTTTTTTTTAAAGATTTTATTTATTTATTCATGAGAGAGAGAGAGAGAGAGAGAGAGAGAGAGAGAGAGAGAGCCAGAGACACAAGCAGGCTCCATGCAGGGAGCCCGATGTGGGACTCGATTCCTGGTCTCCAGGATCGCGCCCTGGGCCAAAGGCAGGCGCCAAACCACTGCGCCACCCAGGGATCCCAACAAGGATTTTAAAAAGAATAAAATACCAACTTTGCCCCCTAAAAAAGGAGTTGGCCAACTTTTTATATAAAGGGCTAAACAGTAAATATTTTTGACTTTGCTGGATAACATGTCTGTCACAACTACTCAGCTCTTCTGTTGTGCAAAAATAACCATAAGAAATGAATGAGCATGATTGTATTCCAATAAAACTTCATGGATCTGGAAATGTATATATATGGAAATACATAATCTTCACATCATAAAATAATCTTCTTTTGAATGTTTTTCCCCAACCATTAAAAAATACGAAAACCATTCTTAGCTTGTTGGCTGTATGAAAACAGGCAGGCAGAAACCAGGATTTGACAAGTGGGCCTAGGTTACCAAATCTGCTTTAAGAGTTCACAGTCTTGAAGGAGATAGAAGAAAATAAACAAATACTCTCTTTTTTAAAAATACAGTACTTCAAGTCTTTTTAGAGTAACATATGCAGTTCTTCTAGCCCCCCCTCCTTCCCCCCCCCCACCCGGGGAGAGGAACTAACTGCTCACATATGTTCAGGGAGATTTCACAGGAGAAATTGAGGGAGTAAGGCTCTGCTTTAATTAGAGGTTGTGAGGACATCTCTGGGGAGGAATCATTTGAAGCTGAGAACTAACGGTTGACACAGAGCAGCAGTTGGAGAACTGCAGGCCGTGTCTTCCAAGGAGAAGGAAGCAACATTTCTTATACCAACCCTAGATGGAAGCAGGAGATAACGCACCAGCATGGCTTTTAAGGTCGACCGTAGCCCGGATATGACATGCTAATCTCTGCTCCCCACCCTTGTGCTGAACTGTTTGCATTTTCCACACTTATCATGCAGTTTCTTACCTTTCAGAGATTCTCCCTGCAATGCCATCACTACCAAAGCAAATTAATATTCCCAGTGAAGTCATATTCCTTCATGGTGACCGAGGTCCGGCATCAATTCCCAGACACCTTTCCTAAACTCAAGGCGGGTCCAGGTGCCTCTTAGTTTGCTTCCCTGGCACTCTACTCATTCTTTATCATGGCACTTGTTACAGTACATTGAAATGGTCTCTGTATGGATCAGTTTCTTCAAGCTCCTAAAGGAAATAAATGAGTGATATCTTTTTGGTAGTCATCATGTCTCTGACACTTAGAATAGTTGGTGGCCACTAAGTCTTTATGATTCTTTACATGTTTGATAAACTGATTGAAGAAGAAACTGGATTACAAAGATGGCTTTGTGGTTTTCTGATGATCTGACTTGATATAGGAATTTATTACAAAAAAATCATTAATGCCTCTCCTTATAGAAAAGTCCTCCTGAATATCAACAGACTCCATTCACCCACAGGCCTATTCTGCAGACAGTTTGAAATTCAGATCCTTAGCATGTATCTAAGTGCAAACGTGGTTTTCTCATCTGTTTTTTCCTCCTGTGTTGATGCTGGTTTCCTTCTCTAATAGAACTGATTGTTTCTTCTCAGA